AAGGAACAAGCTCAAGGCCACACAGCCCATAGAAGGGGTGTGCTCTGGCTCAAAGCCAGCCTGACTCCAGAGTCAAGGCAGTAATTCGGGCTGCAGCCCCCGCCTACTTCCACGTGGCCTGGCTGACCTGGTTAGGTCAGTTTCTCAGAGGTGTCAAGCCGCACGCCCACCCTCCACGCACACACCACTCCGTGGTTGTGAATGAAAAGCCGCATCTGCTTCGGGGATAGTGGAGGCGCAGGAGCCGCTGGAAGAACAGGGACAGGAACGGCGTGGGCTGTTTCAATAAAAACGCCGACCAGGACGACGGGCAGCGCTTCTTCCTGCACAGGGAGAGGACGGCTCAGGCGTCTGGCAGTGCCCAGCCACTGCCCAGCTGCTGAGTCCCTAGGGCAGCTTGAGGGAGCCAGAGGCAGAGGTGGTGTGTGGACTTCACCAGGAAGGGGCCTGGGCTGGGAAGCTCCAAGCAGGGGGTGTCCCTGCCCGTCTGGGAGCAGCAGAAGCCCAGCCTCCAAGCAGGGGGCCAGGGACGGTTTCTCAGCATGTGGCTGGTGTGGGGTTTAGAGTGAGTCATAAATGAGGAGGTTCATGCACTGGGGTAGGAGCTGCAGAAGAGCCTCAAGGACTTGACAGAAGGCACTGGAACTTAGGCATCTGTGGGAAGTGGGAGCCACATGCAGTCTGAAGCTTCCGGGAGGTGACCCCTTTATCTCCCACCAAAGACAATAGCCACTTGCTGACTCTCCCGCCCCTCCCCACCAGGGGAAGGAGACCCCAGCGTTGCAGCCTCACCCCGATGCCCTTGAGACTACGCAGGCCCTCGTCACACACAGAGCAGCCCGTCTCGAAAGTCCAGAAGCGCGGGATGTAGTTGCCCAGGTAGTTCAGCTGAAGCTGTCGGAGAGGTAGGATCTGAGCAGGGGCCGGCGGACCCCACCCACCAGCACCCAGTCACACCTCACTGGGCCAGGACAGGAGCGGGGAGGGGCACCATGTCTTCATTGTGGGTAGGTCTTGAGAAGAATGTTCTGGCCCTCTGGAGAGCAATACTGCTGGGGGGGGGGGAGGGGATTCCTTCCTCTTTGAATCTCCTAGGAGCTTGTAAAATGCAGATTTCTGGGCCCCACACCCTCAGAGATTGCAACCGAGGGGCTCTCGGTAGAGTGAGGCAATCGGCATTCACATGCTCCCTTCCTCCTGCCCACGTGGCTCTGATGTGGACTGAGGAGTGTGCTGTGAGCCAGGGCCAGTTCCCCAGGGCCGGCCAGGTCTGGCCACCCCAGCCCCCCCCCGTGGCTCCAGGAGAGTAGGGACCAGTCTGTGCCATTCACGACTGAGCCTCGTACCCGGGTGCAAACATTCAGCTTTTTGAATGAAGAAACAAGTCTGCCCCAGCACGCTGGGCATGCCTGGGCCCGGATGAACATGCCAGCCTCCTATGTGGGCCCAGCATCACGGGGCCCAGCAGGCTGGGCGGGCATCACTGTCCACCAGGGTCAGGGATGGAGGTGCAGATGTGAGGTCAGAGGCTGCCAGCGGGACCTGCGTGGGTGGCTCTGGCCTCAAAGAGAAACTACGGGGCTGCTGGAGAAGTAGAATTGGGCTCTGGCCCCTCCCCTCGCCCCCCAGGTTGGGGCCCTCCCTACCTTAGTGGGCCCATTGCCATGAATCAGGACGGGGAGGGTGTCGTAGGCCAGGTTCCGGGCTCTTACGTGGCCTTTTTCAAATTTGAGCACAACCTCATCTGGGAGTGAGAAAGCAACGCCCTGCATCAGACCCACAGGCCAAGTGGAGGGGCTGACAGGCCGGGCTCATGTCCTCGCTCCCCAGCAGCAGGGTGTGGTCTGGGAAGGCACTTTACTCCTCTGAGCCTAAGTTTCCTCCTCTGTCAAGTGCAGGTGAGAGTGGGAGGATTCTGTGTCCAGAAACACTTGGCACCTGCCTGGCACGTGTGACCATGGCCTCCAAGGCCGCCCCAGCTATTGCCTGTGACTGCTCATCAGAGCTGGAGGGGGGATGGGAGAAGGTGGTGTCCTAAATCATCCCAGCTTCACACACCCTCGGAGAAGCCCCAGGGACAGGGGCTGGGAGGGGGTCTCAGGGCCCTGAGAATATGTGAGGGTGATTCAGCCCTAGTGAGAGCCCTCTCACGGCATGACCCCATTCATCTGCACGAAAGACATGGGGTGGGAAGCAGCCTGTGGGGCAGTTATGGGAGGCAGAGGGGTCTTTCCTGCCCAGAAGCCTCTGAAGATGCTGGGAGGCCTGTACTGGTGGGTGGTCGTGGGGCAGAGTCCCCCTGTGCAAGCTCCTGGCCTGCCCCTGGGGTGGTTAGGACCCAGCTTCTTCTCTGAGGTTCTTGTGCTTCCAGAAACCACAGGCAAAAGGGTGGGAGGTTTCCTTCCTGGGAAAGGAACCTTAGCTTGTTTCAGCTTCTCAAAGGGGTCCCCAGAAAATCACCCATCAGTGATCGGCTCCAACATCTCTTTTCTAAAGATGAAGCTTGAGGTGTGTGTGTGTGTGTAGTGTGTATGTATGTGTGCATGTATGCAGTGTATGCATGTATGTGTGTGCGGGTGTTTTTTGTGTGTACATATGTGCATGTATGTAGTTGTGTGTGGCTATATGTGTATGAGACTTGCTTGAGGTCACCCAGCAAGAGTGTGGCAAAGCAACATCACCACCAGCTATGACGGGGACAAGCCCCAGAGCAGGTTTCAAAGGCCATTGTTTGCTTCCAAAGTCATCCATTGCCTCCCTGCCAGCTCAGTGCCAACCCTCAGCGCCCTCCACCCCTTATCCCCCCCAAGCCTTACCTGGGAGGTGGGAGGGCAGGGGAAGGAGGTGAAGCAGCCTCCCAGGGCTACAGGGCAGGGCCAACTACCTGCTGTGCGTATGGCCTGGCACCCCCTCCAGGCTGAGCAGCTGCCCCTCTTGCCTTGGTATTCCCCAGAGTCTGTGGACTGACTTTGTGGCCCACTATTCTCATCCCCCGGAAGACACACAGTTCTCCTCTAGGCTATCCTGATGGCCTCTGGGGCTAAGGATGGGGCAGGCAACCTCCAGCTCAAGGGCAGAGAGAGCCAGCCTGGTTCTCCTGCTTGGGCTCAGGCCCAGCTTGGAATCCTCATCTCCATCTAACCACCCCTCTCAGGATCCCCTGTCCATAGGGGCAGCTCACCCAAGGCTCCGTCTAGGTTCTGGAAGATACGACAGCGGTGGTCCAGGGTGATATTGATTTGATCCTGCAGGAGAGAGGGCATGGGCTGCAGCAGGGACACACCCTGGCAGAGGACTCCACTGTGCCAGGAGCACCTGCCCTCCAACCTCTGCTACTTTCCTTCCCCATACCCGCTTTGCCAGCTTACACCAGGGCAACTGGGGGTACTGGAAGGAAGCTCCACCCAGGGCTTCAGGCCCAGGCAGGCTGCTCCCAGGGCAACCGGGCGCGCCCTCTGCCTCTCACCCTCTTCTCGGGGTCCAAGAAGACCTTCGTGTAAAAGAGCTGGTCACTGTCGCTGTCCAGGCCCTCCCACTCGGCCACCAGTTTGCTGAGGTTGGGGGCATAACCGATGAAGCCTGCATTGGCAGGGGAGACACAGACAGACACTTAGTTTCTGGCCTCAAGGTCAGGGGTCCCTTCCCAGCCTCTCCTCATGGACCCCCCACTTTCACCCCCAGTGCTGCGTCCCCTTAGAAGTCCCCCTAGATGAGTGGAGCAGCTAGAAGTAGAGCCCGTTAATGCCTCTTGGTTCTCAGCTGGTCCAGAGAGAAAGACCAACAGTGCGCACTGAAGGGCACCAGCTCAGTGCTGGGCACAGGCAGTGAACGAAGGGATGAGACCCCCCTGGAGAGCAGGGCGCTGGGACACAGGCTTGGGAGCGCTCTTCTACAGTTATCGTGAATAGAGGTCTAGGAAACCTGACCTAGAGAAGGGCAAAGGCCAAGGCCACACAGTGTTTGGGGGCTCGGAGGGGAAAGCCCACACAGAGCACCCCAGCCACGGTGCCTGCTGGTGAGAGAAGATGGAGAAGGTGGGGAGCCATGGGGGGGGAGGCACCCCAAGGGACGCCTGAACACCCGGGCTAGGGCCAGGCCATCTGGCTGTGCTAACTTTCTTGGCCAACAGGGAAGAGTGGCTGCCAGGGCGGGGCCCCCTTCAAGGCTGATAGAGGCCTGCGGATTTGATTCTCCAGGTGATGGGAAGCCACTGAGTGACGTGAGTGGGTCTGCATCTGGCTGCTGCTGGACAATGGACTAGAAGGAGGAGAGGCTGGTAGGGCAGTTAGGAGGCAAGTGCAGACAGCAAGGAGCAGGTGGGTGGGGTGTGGACACAGAGAGAGTTTCCGAGACCTTCTGAGAACATGACTCCCATATGCGCTGGGAGGGGAGGGGAAGGCAAGGGAGGACCCGGGACTTCCGGTTTTGTCCTGGATGGATGCATGGCTGCTGGCGAGGTGAGGAGGAGCGGGGAGCATGGGTCAACCCGGGACATCCTGTGTGTGGGACCTGACAGCTCCATGGACATCCAGCAAGTGGATCCTCATGAAGGCAGAGGATGGAGCTCGCCGCCTCTCCACACACTCCCCACCGGGCTCCTCACCTCCTGAGCCCAGGAACCGCTTGCCATCAGATACCGCTGGGTACTTGGCCTCCAGCCTGCGGTCGGGGTAGATGAGCTCCTCCGCCGAGAAGACCACCTGGCTCCTGGCCTGCCGGAACTTCCTCAGGAGCTCTCGAGGCCCAGATGCAAACACCACGTCATAGCTGTGGCCAGAGGGAGAAGCCCAGAGGGCAGGGGTGAGGAGGGAAGAGCCGGGCAGGGGTGAGGAGGGGGGCGGAGTGAGCACTAGGAATGACCACAGTTTGGGACTGGACCTGCCCAATGTCCCCAGCCCTGCCCACCGTGTCTCTACTCCCACCCTGGGCAGAGAGAGGGTCCCCAATCCAGTGCCCTTCTCAGCTCAAGGCAGGGTTAACCACACCTGGGCAGGATCCCTGCTCATCTTTTCACCAGGAATGTGAATGGACTAACACTAGGGGGTCTTTCCTGGGGTTCACAGACCCCTGAAAACTGCAGGCAATCTTAGCTAGAGTGATCCCCCTCACCCCCAATGTCCAGAGAGGGCCTCCTTTTAGAATATTCTCTCAGCCAAGAGGCACCGCCCAGGAAGCCCCCAGCCACCCACCTGTCTGTGAAGAGAATGACCAGGTTCTCCTTGTCCGCGTGCTTCTCCAGAGCTTTCTTCAGCAGCCGCACCTTCAGACCTCCGCCTGCCGAGAGCTCCTTCCCAGGCCAGTCCTCCCCCAGGCCCAGTGACTACAGAGAAAGGCCCCTCAATGTAGGCTGTTGGTGAAGAACTATCTTGCCTGCGCCATATGCACGCCCTGCCTGAGCAGTGAACATCTTTGCCTCTGTCTGTCCAGCACCTCCCCTTGTCACAGTGGGAAAAATCCTCCATAAGATGTGTGAGAAGGGGACTCCTGGATGGTCACGGGAGCGTGATGGCCAATCAGAACGTCCCAACCCTTGTGCCCCCACCCCACCCCGACAGATCTATCAGAGTCTCCCTGGGTCTGCTCTGTTAAAATGAAGGAAAGGCTATTTTGTTTTACTTAAGTTGAAATGCTGGCGCACGTGGACCTACAGCTGGATACCCCAGAGAGAGAACATGCCTGCAAGAAACAGGGCCTAGAGATGGAAAGATAAAGCCCTGAGCCTGCTGCTTGAACTCCTAGGTCCAGCTATGCCTGAAGCAGTCCTCTACCTTAACCCTCATTCACGTGAGCTGATGACTCTTTCTGGTTAATGTCATGAGACTGCAAGCTATGTGGGCAACGACGTGGCTGGTCTTGTCCATCATTCTACCCTCAGTGCCTTCCACTCTTTCTGACACAAGGACCATTCGACACACTCAGCTAAATGGAGGAATGTCTCCCCGCAGGGCTCAGCCCCAGGGCCTGCACACAGAGGCAGGTGGGGCATTAGCCTGTGTTTCTTTAGAGCGGTGTTTCTACAGGCGAGATCTCCCAACTGTGGCCCTCCCAAAATCCCCTGGGGGGAGCTGG